AACGTCGAAATTGCACAACGTATGCACGCGTATAAACAGGGTCGTAGCGCAGGGAAAATTGTCAAAGGCGGGAAGAATATTCAGCCTCCACGACGAAACGTCTTATACTCTGAAACTTAGGGTAATATGTATTTTGCCCACCTACAGCCCTTCGAAGTCCCGCAGTGATTGTTGAGCAAAATATTAATTTAAGGTACTGACGGTTTAACTTATTGCGGACAAAGGAAACCCTTTCTACCCAATGGTCAGATATTTCATTGCTACGTACTCCCGAGTGAGCTGGTACCCAGAGAAAAACAAGCTCGCTATGTTTTTCAACACAATTTAGTGGAGACTTGCATTGCGCAACCAGTCTGGAAGTAGTTAGAAGGCTGACAATTCCTTCAGTGCAGACATCTAAATAGTAACTCTATATAGTACACTGTTCAGGAAAGCCATAAATGCTATAGTGCACATGTGTGCGAACGTATTGGAAACTCATTACTTGATGTGTGTATTTAACCTAATTGATAGTTTTCCAAAGAGAAGTTATAATTTTTACATATATCTGACAACACTTTTTAGTATTTTATAATTTTTTTGTTTCAGCTAGTAATTATATGTACTTATTAATGCACATTTCTCACACATCTTTATCTTCTGGTCACATTTATCCAGTTCATACGAGTATTATAATATGTAAAGAATGTATGTATGTATAAAAAGTTTAATAAGTATAAATATTTGGCGTCGTAAAATGTTGTTGATAAAAATGGTAACTAATGGCGATTTCGTTTCTACAAAAAATGTTGCCTTCTCAATGCCCTCTCCTTAATTTTTGTGCATAGACAGCAAAGAGAAGGTTGCATTTTTCGGTAGAAACGAAATCGGCATAAGTGAGTATGTGCGGGCTAATAATAAAAAGCGTCAAATTCATTTGTTGACAAACAAAAATAAAGAATTAATATAAATCAATTAGCAATCGTCTGAGTTGAACGCGCCAAAATTGTGAGACTAACACCAAGTACGAACCGTATATGGATTGAAGGGGCTGAGGGGTTAGATATAAGTGAAAAATTTCGAAATATAAAATTAAAATAAAGAGTTTAAGCGCCACTTTTACCATGCATTAGAGATGCCAGATCGAAATAAGAAAAACCCGATTTTTTAATCGATTCGAATCGAATTAAAAATAATCGATGCTTGAAGAAATCGGCAAAAAAAAACGATCTTCCAAGATCGATTCATATATTTGGTCAAATAACGTCTTTTACTTAATTTTTACAAAGAAACAAAACACGGCGATCTGACCAAACTAATACTGAAATTTTTAAAGCATACATACATTTTGCATAACAGTTTCAATATACAGATTTATTCAAAAGCTATCAAGTAGCTTTCAATTCGTAAATACTTTGAGACAAAAAAAAAAACAGAATAACAAAAAATAAATGCCAATGGATGTAATGACAAAAATGGTTCTTTTTCACTTATGTGCAGTATTTTGAAAAAAAAATTTACATTTGCAATCGGGAGTGGCGATAGGTCGTTCATACAATTTTTTTAGCAAAGTTGCCATTTCACCAAAATTGCCACTTTGCAATGTTTCATGAATCGCACTAATGGCTATTTTTTTTGAACGTGATACCCAACATTGCCATTAAAATTTTTGTAATTTAATGCTTAGTGGAAATTGGTCATTAACCCTACTCAAGGAAATGCTTAATTTTTTTTTTTATCACAAGCGAAAAAACTTTATGTTTAACTTCGAAACTAACCACTATTTTTTTTTTTTAATTTTACTGGAGCTACAAAAATATCAGAGCACTATCGATAGTATCGATGTTTTAATATTTTTTTTAAACATCGATATTTTTTACTATCGATGTTTTTAGAAGATTTGCCATTATTAGAAAGTTAATCCGTTGCTGATTTGGGACAGGCAAGAAACATAAAAATTAAAGCGTAATAAATTCATAATCTTTAACAGTTTAGCTGAGTTTTGACGCAAAAGCGTACCAATAAGTGTTTCGGGAAGTTATTACTCATAAAAATGATTTTGTCAATGCCATTCGATATCTAATTGGGAAAATTTAGACTAAAAATCTGAAGTGTACCTTAGATTATTGCCTTAAAGAGCAAATATTTAATTTATTTAATAAGACATTAATTAATACACATATTAATCGCGTTGTTGCATTATGAATATTTTTATATTATTTTTATTTTTCATTTAATTAATTAATAACTTGCAATATTTAATGTGACCTTAAATATAAGTCAGATTAAATTTTAAATTAACTAACGGATAATTTTAAAATAATAAATGTAATTGTTTTTTTAATTATGTTTGTTTAATTAATCAGGATTTCAACTTTCAACTTTATAATTACCAAGAAAACACGATATTATCGATACTATCCATGTTTTATTGGCAAAACATCGAAACGGCGATAGTTTCAAACATCGATTTTTTTTTGCAGCACTAGAGCTTGCGTATATATTTAAATGTTTTTTCAATACGGACGCTTTTTAGTTTTTTTTCTTTTGTTTTCTCTAATTATATATTTTTTTTTGTACCAGCTACCATGATAAAAACATAGCAAGGTAGAACCGTTCTCTCAATTTGTCGGCCATGGTTTTTTTTTTGAAGTTTGCCAACATTTTAAAATCATATAAAAGTGAAAATAAAAAATTGAATTGAAATTGTTCGAAATTGTTGTTGCTTGAGATTGAAAATGAAAATGTGTGTGTGAGTTTGTGAGTAAATTTAAAAATTAAATTGTTTGGAAACGTCAAGAATTTCAAAAGTGACTCTCAGCGGTTCTACCTTACTTTATTTTTATTATGCCAGCTACAATTCAAATTTCTTCAAAATTTTATAGATTTTCTGAGATAAACCGAAGATCAATATGCATCAATTGAGAGAAAATCGAATGTCGATTCTTGAATTTTTTGAAACGAATCGGAACTAAAAAATCTAATCGGAAGGGCTCGATTAATCGATCTTCGATTTAATCGATTTAAAAACGACACCTCTACTATGCACGTGTGATTTTACTGATGCACAGAAATTGCCAGTTTAGTGGGTGCTAATAGGCGTATGAGTGACATTGATTGTCTGATTTTGAACGGACGTTGTATTTAGTAGCGTAGTCTTTTATAATTTTTTTTTTTTTGTAGTCGGAGCTATGTTTGCTTGTATTTTTTGTATGCTCATGTCGTACCTTTGCTGTAAGAGTGTCATTAGCCAAAAAATAAAATATAACAAGTAAGAAAGGCTAAGTTCGGGCGGAGCCGAACATTAAATACCCGGCGCAAGTATTAAATATATGTTTTTTCACCCTTCCGAAACCTTCCGCTAGATGGTAAGCCGAGTTGTAACAATTTTGAGTAAATTAGCGTCCTTCAATTTCGAAATATTGAAGTTTCAAGCATTTCTTAAATTTACCGTTATATGAGAATCGGCCGTTATATTAGTCCGATTTCAATAATTTTCAACGTTTTGCTTACACGTGGCAAGTACAATAACCATACCGAGTTTGGTACAAATTGGTAGAACGGTTACCGGTATACTTATATGTGATCATAAGTGGGCGGTGCCACTCCCATTTTCCAAAATTTTACCATAAACGTATTTCTTGGTAAAGAATTGTTGCAAGCATCAATTTTGAAAAAAATTAGCTTCAATATTTAATGATTTATCGAAGATTTTGTATTTCTCTAAATTACCGTTATATGGGATGTGGGCGTGGGTATTGTCCGATTTTAAAAACTTTCGGCGGTTTTTTACGCTGTACCAAGGCCAACAACTGTGCCAAGTTTGGAAGAAATTGGTGTAGCGGTTACCAAGATATACACATGTAACCATAAGTGGGCGTGGCTACGCCCATTTTCCAAAAATTTATAATATTCTTATTTTTCGTCTAAAACTTATTATAAATATCAATTTTGAGTGAATAATCTCCAGTAGTTACTAAAATATTGCAGTTTTCGTATTTCTGAAAATTACCGTTATATGGGAAGTAGGCGTGGTTATTGAGCGATTTTAAAAATTTTCGGCCATTTGGTATGTTATGTGAAGGCCAACAACTGTGCCAAGTTTGGAAGAAATTGGTGCAGCGGTTACCAAGATATACACATGTAACCATAAGTGGGCGTGGCTACGCCCATTTTCCAAAAATGTATAATATTCTTATTTTTCGTCTAAAAATTATTGTAAATATCAATTTTGAGTGAATTATCTTCAGTAGTTACTAAAATATCGCAGTTTTCGTATTTCTGGAAATTACCGTTATATGGGAAGTGGGCGTGGTTAAAGTCTGATTTCGCCCATTTTCAATACCAACCTACCTTGGATTAAGGGAAACCTACATACCAAATTTCGTTGAGATATCTCAATTTTTGCTCGAGTTATCGTGTACACGGACAGACGGACAGACGGACAGACGGACAGACGGACAGACGGACAGACGGACAGACGGACGGACAGACAGACATGGCTTAATCGATTTCTTTTTTCATCCTGATCATTTATGTATACATTTGTCTATATCTATCTCGATTCGTTTTGGCTGTTACAAACAACCGTTATGTGAACAAAATTAATATACCCTTGTGCACAAGTGCGCTCGGGTATAAAAATGAGTTAAGTATACAGAAATGACCGCTAATTCTTCTTCGATGTTGTTTAAAATTTGCATGGCTGTTTTGATTAACAATAGCCTAATAGAAGAAAATGTCTCTAACTTGGAGCTGTAAACCGTAAATTTTACATTTAATTCTCGAGTTTTTGATCTTTCGTATTATGACACTTTTGCAATTTTCTACTTACATTTATAGCGACTGCGCGTGTGAGCCAATAGCTAGCGTAGTTATTTCACATAACAGCCGGCGAAATAGCACAATAACAACGAAATTAGTTCGACGTCACAATAAATTAATAAATTAAATAAATAAATTTACGATATAAGCAACAACACACCGGCACAAGAAATTCGCAAGACCTTGTTTGTTATTTGTTTTTTTTTTTGTTTGCGCTTCGACACTTGCTTTAGAATTTGAGTGGAATAAAATGTCTGCTATTCGATTCACTTGTTGCTATTGCATTTTTGTGTACATCTGTATGTATGTATGTACATAAGACAGTGTCAAATAAATTTTTTTTTGTTCTGTCCCATATCTATGCGACTTGTGTGGGCGATCACAAAAAAAAATTGTGCAAAATGTCAGCCCTCTATCTTTGTTTTTCAGTTAGCATGGTAAAAAAAAATCAATCAAAAAAAAATTTACAAAAAAACTTGCCAAAAATCAACGATAAGTCCTAACTACTTCAAACTTGCACCTTATTACTAGAATTGACTGGGTTACAAGATTTGGGTTTTTAATTTTTTTATATTTAATTGTTTATAAAAAGCAGCTGAATTTTTTTTTTAATTGAAAATTAATATTTTTGCGCGCTAACTGAAAAATGCACAAATAAAACTGAAATTTGGGCACATTTGTTTTTTTTTTTTTTTTAATTGTGACCGACATGGAAATTTTCATTTGGCACCGCAAGAAAAAAAATTTTAGTTTTATTTGACACAGTCTAATGTATGTACATACACATTTTTTTGTATGTGCTTTATGCGAATACATATGTATGTATGTAAGTCTTTTAGCTCTCGTGATGGCGCATTATTAAATTTTTGTATTCCTTTTTATTTCTAAAAATTGATTTACACATTGCCGCAAACAAATTTAATATTCTTCATTTTTAGTATTTTTGGCATAAAATTATATACTTTTAATTATTTTCACTTCAACTTTGTGTCTTTTGTTAATTTTTATTATTTTTCGTCCACAGTTGCAATGAAAATTATCAGTGTGTAGACTGTAGACTGTGAAAAAAATATAAAAGCCATCAGCGTACATTTAGAAGTGCTGAAGAAACTATCGCGCACTTTTGTTATGTACATATGTACATAAATTGTTGTTGCAACAATTTACATACATAGTATCTATGTAGAACACCCGCAAGCATTTTCTAGTATTTATTTTTGGCGTTAGTGTTGGCGCCTGCAAGCGTTGGCGGTCGAAAGTAGTTCACTTTGGCATAAATAAGAAATACAAAGTTGAAAAGAGGAAAGCAGCTTGAAAATAAAATTGGTTGCAGAAGTGGCGCACATTTACAAAAATAAAATTTAAAAAAGTATTCAAAAACATAGCAGAAGAGAAAGAAATTAAAAACAATTTTTAACAAAAATAAATAAAAGACATAAATCAATTTTTCACGTGGTGCCAAGTAGTCGTTTCATGCGCTGTAAGTGGTTCAAAAATAGCACTTCAATGAATGCAGTTCAAATATGCGTATTTTCTTTTTCACTTTTACTACACAAATGTTTTGGAAGTTATTGTATTTTCGTTTTACTTTTGACGCTTACGTTTTGCGAAATTCCACGCTATTCGAATGAAAATTCGTTATAGCTTTTCTTTGCTCGTTTAATTTTTAGTTTTCAATCTTGTAACTTTTATTTATTTTTATATATATATTTTTATTTGTTTTTTTTTTTTGCTTGTTGCTATTTAACGATCACGCAAACGTAAGGCGCAGTGTTCGAATGACTCGCAATGCCACCACGTGCGCGTTTCAAATTCATGCATAAACTGATTTCGTTGTTAAAATGCTTAGCAGCGCGCGGTTTGCAAATCGCTGAACGCTGGCGATTGAAAATTTTGTTTGTGCGCGAGATCCTCTTTAGCGCTGATAACAGCTGTCAGCGCGCAGCGTGTCGAGGGCAGCGTTGCCGCAAGTTTAAAAAAAAAAAGTATCAGTTGCCAAGCAGAAAAAGTATCAAAAGCAAACACAACTGTTATGTATTTTTTAAACTTTTTTTTGAAAAACAAATAATAATTAAAATTGTATAATTAAATCTATAGATTTGTACAAGTCAATATTGTGGAAATTAATACACAATAAAATTGCGCAAACCTTATTTTGGAGAAACGTTGCTCAAGTAAATCAGCCTTATCACGAGTATCATTTTCCCCGAACCGGTTCATTTTTCACTTTTCGTTTCCATGTATGGGTAGAATACGAATTTTCGGGCCTTATAAATACATATAAAATTTGAAGACTTTAAGTAACAAGAAAAAAATTGTTGTCTTTAAACTGGTAACCTTATTCATACTTTTCAAAAATTAATTTCTGCCAGCTAAATGTATTCATCAAAATGTGGCATTTGTGAGCAAAAAAGTATCAAAGTATCATATATTAATATTTAGAAAAAAGAAGTATCAAAAATTATACAATTGTATCAAAGCGGCAACGCTGGCCGAAGGGCAACGTAAAAAAAAGCGCTGCACTGCTTGTGAGTTTGAGAGTTTGTATGGTAGAGTTGCCAACAGTTTGAGAATTTTTAATATGACTTGAACTGACAACACTGATCGACAAGTTAAAAAAAAGCCAGAGCCTTCTAAAGTAAATTTAAGTCACTCATTCCGCATTTACCCATCATTTCTTCAGCTTTTCTTCGGAAACCTATATTTTTCATTGCCAAGGGAAATATTTATTTATGCAAACGAATACGAAAGCTTTGAAAAATTTTACAAAAATAAAAAAATATACCTTACTATACATTTGATAACGCCAACTTTTTAAAAATCGTATTCTTAAAGAGTCAAGCAGGCCTTTTTATTCAAAATTTTCAAAATTCATTATTTTCTGCCAGAATATTAAAAAGCCTTAATTTGAGCTCCAAATCATGTATTTTGTCTGATAACGATCGAGCATTATTTGTGAAAACATTTCGTAAAATGTAACTCAATAACAACTCAAAAATATGCTTATACGAATGCAAAAAAGTTTTCCAGATATGCTCTCGTGGGTGACAGTAGGGTGTTCGGTTATTCGCCTTTTTCCAAAACCGAGTTTCAAGTTATTCGAAAAATTGCAATTTAAAAAAAAAACGAGTACCCGATTTTGAAATTTAGAAAAAAAAGCCGGATAAACCGTTTTTATTTTACATAGTTTACATACAATGAAAATGCTTATGTTGGTATGAAGTCATGACCAAAAATTAAAATAAAACTATTATCAGTAAAGATAGCAAATTAAGTACAAAGTTTTTTTTAGATCAAAAGTAAAAAAACAAAAATCCGTGAAAAATTTGCGTTTTGTCTTATTTTGGTTTGTTGCATTTTTCTGACTTTTTCCCGATTTGAGTAGTTTTCTTGCCGACGTAGCCGGGGTAAAAGTCGAGATCTCCATTTGTGACACATCAAGAAGAACACGAATTGAAGGATAAGCTCGGCCAATTACGTAGAAAACGTTTAAGCGCCAAACATTTATTTATTGGCATCAAATATGATGTACTGCTCATCCCCAAATAACCTAGAATATAATTTTAAAACTATTTGGGGGTTGCCCTTTAGCTGGAAAAGGCGTAGAAAGTTTCGAAAAACTCAAAACTTTTATTGAGAGGCCAAGATTTGAATGAAATGAAAAAACCGGTTTGTCAAAAAATAAAAATAAACCGGTTTATTCGATATTTAAAAATTGAGGATTACAAAAAACCCGTCTAAAGATATTCAAAAAAAGCTGGCGGAAAAAACCCCTAGTGAAGAGTAATGAAGAGTACTAAATTATATCGCCACCCGAGTGGAAGATCGACCCCGATCCGGTTTGAAAACGCCCTATCTCAGAAAACTTTTAAAGAACGCCCCATTTCAGAATTTGCTTGAAGAACGCCCTAACTCAAAATTTGATTAAAGAATTCGATTCAAAAATGCCCTATCTCAGCACATTTTCAGCACATTTTAATTTGAGATGAGGCATTTTTTAACCGAATTATGAGATAGGGTGTTTTCAATCAAATTCTGAAGTAGGGCGTTCTTGAAAAGTTTTTTGAGTTAGGGCGTTTTCAAACTGGCTGCCGATAACGTCGATCTTCCACTCAGATGTAGTCAAAATAGTGAAGAGGAAAACAAACATAAAATAATATAAAAATCACTCAACGATAAGTCCCTATTTCAAAATTTGTACAAAAGTTAGGAAAATGTTTCATATAAAATTTAAAACTTCTTAAAAAAAATTTTTGGGAAAAATACTGATATGAGGTTATGTAGAACATGAAATTTTACTATAGTAAAATCCAAGTTTCAAGATGCTCGAAAACCTCGTTTATTTTTGATAATTTTTTTTCTGGCGGTGTCACACCTTTTCTTCCAGAAAAAAAAAACAATGTCAAGTATACTTTGCATGGAAGAAAAAGCGTGACAACGTTAGCAAAAAATTATCACAGCCAAATTGAAAATAAATAGAAAATATCAGAATGAGAATGTCATCGAATAAGACATCAAACCTCAAGCACCTTTTCAGGGGTGCAGGAGATACACCAAACAAAAACTTACATGGTTCCCTTATCATCGCGAATTTCTGAGTATAAGTTACACGTACATACCTTATTATATCTCACTGAATATCAGCATTGTTGCTTATCACTGAGCCCTTGATAATTATTCATATAATTTGTAAGAACATTCATACATACGCTTATCACAATTTATTTGCTTGCCCTCTGTTTGCCCTTTTTATTTTATTTACGTATTTATTCTCAACACTTGGCTACCCTAATCTATTGTTAGCGATAAGAGAGAGAACTACTGCGTCGTCAGTCCGTAAGCGATTGCTGCCCAACGGCCCAACGGCCCAACGGCACAACGGACAGGCGATATTTTGTTTTGCTACACAGCTGTTACATTGTAAATGTATCTGTGTTAAGCAGCCGCCTCGTACAAATATGTATATATGTATACCCTACAGCAGCATTTGGTGACACTCTGGCAAAGCGCTAGTTCCGAACTATACATTTTGTAACTAGTTAGGGCGCACTACATACAGCAAAACGGATACCGAGCGGGGCTGTTCTAGGTGCGTTTTTCTATTGGTAATGTGCCACTCACATATCTCATGCGTTTCAAGTGGCGTCGTAGTGGGGAACAAAATGAATTTATCCAAAAAAAATGAAAATAAAATTCAATGGGGGTATTCATCTAATGCCACAAACTGCCGGTAAACACCATAATATTAAGAATTTTTATGGCAGCTTAATACTTTATACGAATACCCCTAATATAATATAATATCGAGCCCTAACCGCCAAAATAACGTAAGTGACATTTTTTTCAAAATTTTATTTTTGATGCAGAAATATTTGTAGGGCAACTAGATGCATTTCTGCCTCAAAAAGAAAATTTTGGAATAAATGTCGCTTACGTTATTTTGGCGGTTAGCGCTCGATATGTACATATAACTGCTGAATTACTGTTTTCACTTACTTTTTCTTTATACAATATAAAAAAAAAATTACTATCTCCATAGCTGTACAAATTTCGGACCACGGAAAAAGTATACAATCAACATACAATTCATAAAACCTTATTTTTCTTGACTGTGCAAACTAAGGTCTGTTCGTAAGGCGTTTGACGGTTATGTTAATAGAAGGGGACAATTTTCACTTTGTTGAACACTGGCATCTTTAATAAGACATCTAAAAGAATTAAGTTGGGCCAAATTGCGAACCAGTATCGTCCCCTTTTGAGCTAGCTCGCCACTAGTTCAGAACCAGTTCGGTTTGCTGCAGGGTATATACTTGTACATACATACTAAATACATTTGCAAATATGTGCACTTATTAGCGATTCATTTCTAAAAACTATATAAATTGTGTTACAAATGTGTATTTGTGTGTACTTTAAGATGTGTTTTTACCATACACACAATTAAAATTGGCAAAAAAATTTAATAATCGAATAATCAATCATATGATTAATCCCAAGCCAAAAAAATATTTTAGTTAATTGCAATTATAAAGAAATAATCGATTAATTGAATTTTTAAAAGCACTTGTTTACGGTGAGTATTCACAAAAACACTTTTCCATAAAAAAATTTTAATTCTCTTGTTAATTAGCCTAAAATAAAGCGAGTATTTTTAGCGGCGCTAATTATTTATTATTTAACCAAGTTTGCAAAGACAATATTTTGATAAGCCGTTTGTTGTTAAGCGGTTGCGTTTCTCGGTGGCTGCGGAACCAGCTTATGAAAAAAGGCGGTCAGCAGGCCATGAGGTAAGTACTAACCAAATGACAGTATTTTTTTGAAAGTGCATAAAGTTTTTGGGAAACAGTTTTAATTTTCTCCCAAGCGTCGTTGATATTGAGCTTTAGTTATAGGAGTTGGCAATTTAAATAAAAATTCATTTCATCTTGTGGGTGACCCTTCCCTTCGTTTGTGTACAAGAGATTTATGGGGGCCCAAATATCGAACTCATTTTCTGCTGATTCTAGTGACACCTCGTTACCCGCACATTATATAAGTTCACAAGGACTTCATAACTGAGGCCAATACTAACGGATCTTTGAAATGAATTTTTTTTTAAACCTCGGGTCGAGTAAAGTTGATGCAGCTAGCAAAAACGAGTGTCCGATGAATGGATTTTAGACAACTACAGAATTCGTACTTGCTGAAAAAAATTTTACGATTATATTACATTTAATGAAAGCAGAGTCATAATCCGAAGTATATTTCTATCGTTAACAGTCTGTCCTTCTCTCTTGGGAAACATGCCACCGTATTTTAAGCATAGGTATTTTTAATCCTCAAGGGCATATTTTACTCAGTAAACAGAATACTTATAGGTATTGGCATACAAACACAAATATATCACCGACTTTTTTACAATTACTGAATAATTAGTTTAACTAGG